ACGGTGCAATTAGCCTGAGCCTCGGCCACCCCCCAAAATAGTGGGAGAGTTGTGCCTGGGAACGAGGGTCCCCCGGAAGAGACGTGTTTGAATGCAAACATGCTTTCGTGTCTCTTCCTGCTTGCCCACCGAGGGGACACAGTGGAGACAGCTCGCTCCGACTGCGTCTGATCTACCCGGCCTGCCAGGGACGCAATTGCCCCGACAGTCCTTCGACCAAAGCCCTCAACTCGGAGGCAAACCCGGCGCCGTGCGAGGAAGGGTCCACAAAGAGACCCGCAACGGGCCCCATAGGAAGAAAGCTTCCAGGGGCACAGCCTCGCTGGAGCCGGTAGAATCGGGTAAAACACCGCCTGAAAAAACAGACTGTGAGGATGCCCTCCGATCAGCGGGGGAGACCGAGAAAAATATCGGTATCTCCGCAGTCGGGCCTCTTACTCGTCGTCCCGGTACATGAAGTACCGGTAGCCGAGCGCGAGGACTTTCCACTCATGCAAAACACGCAACTCACTTTAACCGATTTGTTTACTGGACACACGACCTTGCTGTGACGCGGTCAGTCTCAGCGATTTTGATGGCTCTGAAAGAAAATCTCAGGCCTCAGAACTCCAGTGAAAAAAACATGCTTTCACGCAAAAACCCCAAAACCCGCACGTAGCTACGACAAAGTATATCTGATGCGGGTTCTATGCTGGTAAATTCTGAATATAACCACTACACGGTCGACTCGAAACATGAGGAGACCGGAAAGAAAATGGCAGCGAGCCCTGGTGCTGTCATTACATCTATATATTGCTAAATACATTGAAAATAAAAGACGACATGCATGAGGGAAACGAATCACAGTTGTAAAAGGTGCCGCCATGAAAACCAACTGGTTACGTAGTGGCGCCGGATTTTAATTTCTTTGTTGTGAAAAATACTACACACAAAGGAGAAAACGACACGAGGGTAAAAATGACAAGGAAAACTTATCCTACCAGCTACAATGTCGAATGCCGTGCAGCGGCAACAACCCAAGCTATAAATCCGGACAGGAAAAAAAGCAGGCGATCTAGCAGAGCTCACTAGATTTCATCTCCACTAGAGACGGAGAGAAAATAAGAGTGATGGACGGCTACTTGTGGCGCTGCCAGGTTGCCTCGGTCACATGGGTTTGTGACGTAAGGGGTTATGTTATATCGGGGTGGAATTGATTTTGAAAGAATTTTAGCTTTCAATCTAAAGACTGTGTTGATCGTCAAAGCATTTACTTACGAACAAAGAGGTGCTAATTTTACAAAATTATCTTGTGTTGTTTATAAGCCACTACCACACCATGTGACTACGTCTATTGTTTACAAATTATAATCCACGACTGATAGGATGCGTGTCGGTCGGTACATCGGACAATAGTCCTGGTCGGAAGCGTGGCAAGATCCCTGATAGCTACGTATTTCTTTCTATATTTCGTAATACAGTTCACAGGATGAACAATGAAAAAAGCACTGTGGCGGTCTTACTAATCACCGGGCGGCTCGAGAACACAGTGGCGGGCAGGGAAAGCAGCGTGGCAGCCCCGCACACAAATTGAATGCTGGGGAGAACACTGTCATCATAGAGTAACAGTGAGTTGAAGTGCATTATAAATGTGATAGTGATAGCCAAACCTTGATTTTCTGTACACAAGAATTATATGCAAAGCTATAAGTTGGGATTACCGGGTATTGAAAATAAACTGTGTTTTTTTATGTAATTAATAAATATGGTCTAAAGAAGTTTGCACAAATTTGCTCAGTAAAAATGTAAAAGAAAATAAATAATTTCCTTATGTGTTGGGGCTGACATTTTACGATACTATCTTGTTTCAGTGAGTTTCAAGAAGTTTGCTAGCCCATGATTGTTTGCAATGTGTACGTGAATTACAGGAAATGTGTCTATAATTTTTTATTCTCTAATAAAAAAAAAACTACTTGACCAAGGTTGGTTGCAAATATTTTCACAAAACATTGTCATTTTAGTGGTTATTTTTGTTATTCTAATAATTATAGAGAAGCAGTGATACCACGTGATTATATCACCCACATACTGGCATTGAACTACGGGTAACTGACATCAGAATTGGAATATGCTATGCCCATAGCAACAGATCATAGATCAACTCGATAATTAGAACTTGAAGATATTATAAGTACGGGACAGGTATAGAAGTATTAATGGTAACAATACATGACCCCGGTAATTCGTGTTGTGCCAACTACGTCAGCCAAGGTTATTTCGCAAAAGTTGGGACTGCGCCAACTGAGGTTCCAATCCATCGCCCTACATTCCGCATATAGATTAATATTTACTTGGTAAAGCATTAGAAATTGGAAGACACATGACAAAAACAACAATTTTTTCGCCAAAGAATCACACGGCATTGGAAAGTTGTTTTTATTTCACACGCGGAAACCGTTCATTTGCAATCGTAAGTGACAGTGTACGGTGTCTGTTTACAAACAATCGAAAGGTACGATCGGTGACACCAAATAACTTACAAGCGATTTACTATGAACACTTACCATGTATATCTTTTTCTGTCACATCATGAGACCTGAGAAGAGCAGAAACTTGACGTAGATTGCCGTTAAATACGCTCTCATGCAAAGGAAAACGCGAAGTGTTCGCCATATTGAACTTAATCAAATGAAGTTTGTGACCTTAAAGGTCATCGTCGTTGGTGGCGCACTTTAGAACTGTTTTGCCGTCATTTGTCTTCACACACTTCAAGCTTTCTCGTCCTCAAAATCAACAAATATTTTACATGTACTCAGGTACATTTTTCATGGGCCTCCACATGGGTAAAAAATAATATGGCTTCTTCCCACTTCACTTTTTATGGGTTTCTGCAGTTTCACTCTTTATAAGTTTCACATTTTATAAAAAAAATCAATTCACTTCATTTTTTATAACAAATATTCTTCACTTCACTTTATATAAGCATTCAATTATTGTACTAATTAATATTACTCAGTATCTAGAAACTTTGCATTTCAGATACAATGATTTATTTCATTACAGATGTTATCAGGGTGAACAATTTTAATACTAATAAAGCACTATAGATAGTATTGCTGTTTCTGTTAGTCCCCGATTTGAATTATCAGTAGTCAAAAAACCGGCATATACAATATACCTTCTGTGCATCCAGTCATAACTCAGCTATATATTCGTTTTTTGTCATCTTAAGCACATACATCTCATATTGAGGAATGATGCATGTGCAGGAGTTCATGATTGGACCAAAGATATGTGACTACATGTATTTTATTTGTGTGACTGCTGGTAAATGAGAAGCATATTATGAAACCTTTCCCTGCAAATAGATATAGTAATATCATCTTTGAAGTTCGGAAACAAATGCATACAATAGACATTTATTCATAATTGTTACA